ACAGCCATGCTAGTTTTTAAAAGCAGCTAGCATGCTAGTTTTTCTCGTGAACTGTAACCTCAATGCCACAGTGATGTGTCATGCCAAATGCTAGTAATGGTGTTCTAATTTAATCACAATGACAATCTGATGTGTAGTGGGCATGCTACCATGTTAGTTTAACATCTTGTTATGGTAATTGGGGCTAAAGGGCAATTGCAAAGAGTTATGGATATGTGATCCATGCATTTTTACTTTGGGCGACACGGTGGTTAGCACTGTTGCCCACAGCAAGAAGGTCCTGAGTTCAATTGTGGTTAACTGGTAACTCTAAATTTCCCATAGTTGTGAATGCAGGTGTGAATGGTTGTCTGTGTCTATGTGTTAGCCCTGGCAACCTGTCCAGGGTGTTCCCTGCCTCTTGCCCTAAGACAGCTGGGATCGGCTCCAGAAACCCCCCCCCCAAAAAAAAAAAAATAGGATAGAAGGATAAAAGAGAATAGATGGATGGATGGTATTTTTACTTTATATTTTTGTGTCATTTGCGTATTTTTACCTTTAAACCTAAGTATTGGATATATCTGTTACCTTAACCCCCACATCTTCATTTTATCCTAATTTCTTTCAAAAATCTGTAATCCTTTCACAACTTTGGGGGTGTTTTTGTTCGGCTGATCCTTCTAAAGGCCTTCTAATGATCAAGATGCTAACACAGTATAGCTTCATTTATTTAGAGACAGTATCTTGCTCAAGGACACTCCAGCAGAGCAGATGAGCGCTGACATGCACTATTGATCCAGTGTCCTCAGGTTGAAGAAAGGTCTTCCGACGCACTACACAACATTGCTGCCCTTTTATTGATTTTATGTTTTTTAAGGCCAAGAAATCCTCCTAAACATGTCTTGAGAAAAAAAAAACAAGATAGAAAAAAAACATGCACTGCAGTTTAAGAGCAGGAAGTTGAAAGCAGAATCTCACATAAAAAAGCAATTTCTGTCATGCAGATAGTGTAGAAATGTTTAGCTGATTTAGAGTTTAGAAATGTGTTAACATAGAATCTAGAATTATTGTAGAGACATTGACACTGCCCTCAATGTAATAAAGGCCTGATGGTGTCCTGAATTTAGGAGCAGAGTATAGGAGACCCTCCCCAGTTGAACTGTGAAACTAAAACAGAGGAGTTAATCCTGAGAGAAAATTCCCCAGAGAATGTTTGGGTGGGGGTCTCAACATTTGACCTGGATAACTGTGGTCTGGAAGGGAAATGGGTTTTTTATGACCTCTAGGGAGTCACCTACACCCACAGTGTTTTAACTGTCACGCACACTCACTTACG